TTACGATGTCAGGTTTCCAGGCTTGATATTTATGTCTCGATTATTAATAAGCCTCTCATGAACACAGCGGTGGTTGAATAGCTAATTTAAACTCCTGCTCTGCTCGTCAGTCGCTCTTTGAGTCGCCTTTTATTTTTTCTGTTAATGAGACCGAAACGCACTGAAATGTGCAACACCTTGTTGAAACAATAATTACTGAGATTATTAATTTTAACACCTTTTGTTGATTTTTTTTTTTTTTTTTTTTTATAATTTTTTTTTAATGAATCTACAAACGTTTAGGATCTTGGTGAATATTTTTGATAAGCCTGTCAGAAAAGGAAGTGCTGGTCTTTCGGAAAGGTTTTGAGTCGTATTGGGCACCCCTGCATTAGAATATACTTTAAATAAATTTGTGGTTGAAAAGTTCAAGCGATATGGACAAGAGCTACATGTCGTGCAGAGGACACAGTAGACAATTGTGTCCCTTTGGACACAGTGGTTTCCTGTTTGTAGTCTGCTTTATGATACATGTGCACACGTTGTTCACGAAGGCACATTTGGATTCATTCCCTCTGTCTGCAGGACGACTCCCTGAAGTCTGCGGTGGCAGTGAATTCCCAGCCTACCTCTATCCCGCTGCTCACGGCCTGTACGGTCAGTGTAAAGACGGTGGTGGCCAACCCCATCGTCCATCTGACCAATCTAACCCACGACATCCTGCATACCATCAATGCACTCGACTCTCCTCCACATCCGGATGTCGTTAACAACGAGGTATAGCAGTTTATTCTTCCTCATTCGATACTGTATATAGCCTTTTGAATGTGAAAACTAATTTGCATTGGTGTCTCTAAATGGCTGAAAACAGGTGGCCCATTTGTAAATTAAAGGACAAAACTACTAGGGGTGCGCAGATTGCAGTTTTCTGATTACCAATCTCTAAAGAGCCTGACCTGCTGATTCTGATTTTAGCCAATACCATTTTTTTGTCTGGAATATTGCTAAATATAGCAATAAAGTGGCTGAGTTGGCAACAGCGGGGTGACTATTGTTAACTGCAGACATGGTGGGCCGGTCTGTCAGTCAAACCTCTCTTACTGCAGAGCAGAAAGGACAGTGACAGATTTTTTTTTAAAAACCTTTGCCAAAGTGGATTAGATCAAGGGATAAGATGCTTCACATGTGACTATCAGCCAATCTTAGATCTTCCAAAATTAAGGATATTGGCGCCGGTATAATGGTGCTGACCTGAAGCTAACATTTAATTGAAGCCAACATTTGTATTGTTACTATTCCACTTTATATTTTTCAAGAAATATATTTTTAATTCAAAACAAAATATTTACCTGAACAGAAAAAAAATGTTACCCTTGTGCATCTTCCCCTTTTCAGATCTATGTGATGCATACCTTGGCTGCTTCCTTGTCTGCATGTATTTATCAATGTCTTTGTGACGGACACAAATACAGGTGAGTGTGGCAGAATTGTTTCTCTTTTATTATAATCCATAACTCTGAACGTAAGGAGCCTATTTAATGTATTTTAGTCAAATGTGAAAAGGCGACTTCTATGGTCAAATTAAATATATACACTATTTCTTGAATTTTGCAGTGGTTTAACATCAGCTATAATTGACTTCACCTGTTTTAAAGAGTATATATAAAATGATTACAGGTTTTGCAGAGAAGTAAATGAAGGTTGATGTGATCTGGCCTGAGCCTCATGAACAACATATGACTGCACAGTTGCATCACATGCTTTGAAAAGAACATCGCCTGAGTATTCGTCCTGCTTCACACAGCTGGACCTCTCTGTCTTTGATTTCACCACTGCTGTCTCACATATACAGCATGGGAGAGGTTGCTGCCTTTATGCATTTCCTGTTACCATGACGATCATCGTGGCCTGTATGATCAGCTTGCTGAAATGATCTGTACTGACAGATCCTCCTGTCAGGATTTTTAAACACGAGTGTTTTAAAACCTTCACAATACAATGCTTTGCACCTTTTCTCCAGAGTTCTGCATAAAACGGTGCAAACTCTACTTCATGCAACCAAGGTTGACGAAGTGTTAGCTCCAGGCTAGTGTCCTGCCTGCTCCCATTGCTTTAATCCCTTATTGGTCTCCAGGTGATTCTTTCAACAAGTTTCTCACTTCCAGAGCGATTAACCTTCACTATAAATCCAAATTACTACCTCGTCACAAGTAACCCGACTGTTAATATTCGAGCCAGAACATTTGTGTCACTTCATCCATGGTGTTTGAACTGAATGATTTCAAGGGCTGCTGGTGCTGAATAATAATTAATAAGGCAGCGACACGGCTGCTGGTAACAAGGACGTGTTGCATAATGGGAGGATAATACACACTTTCAGTTGAAGTAAAGACTGCATATATAACTGAGTTTTTTTTTTTTTTACTGGGTTTTTGCAAAACGCTGCTGTAAAGCAAAATAAAGAAATGCAGGAGTATGATGGGCACTTGTCTGTTTAGATCATGTGGAATATAAATTATGAAAACTTTAAGGATGCTTGTTGACATTCTTATTGTAAATGCTTAATTATGTGTTTTGGTTCTTTTGCATGGGAGGGCAGCATTGTTTATTTAAGAGGCTGATGCACCATAGCTTCCAATCAGGTTGACAAGAACGGAGTCGGATTTAAACTTCAGATGAATTCCTATGCGTGGGAGGCCATTTTTAAAATAGCCTGTTTGGCTTAAAGCTGTGCTGCTTTGTGTGCTGCTGTCATGGTTTTGTCAGAATCCTCCATGATGTTTACAGTTTCATGAATGCTTTACCAGACTGGAGCTTAAAGTCACAGTAGAAATGAATTAGGTGTCATGTCTTAAGGAGAAGAGCTCTTTTCTTTCTCACTATTAAAGTTCTCTCCCCTTACTTATTTAGCTTTAAGTAGGTCTCAAATTAGGTAAGTTTTGTCAAATTTAAACACCATGTGTCATCATTTTTACTATTCAGTTGTGTTTGCGATCGTAGCTGATAAAAGTTAATTTGTTTTCCGTCTCCAAAATTGAGAAGTAGTGCAAAGCAGCTTGATTTTTTTTTTCTTGCTTCAATGCATAACCCAGTGATCATGAACAAAAATGATATTGCCCCAGTCCTGCAGCTTCAATGAGAGTTCATAGAATGAAGATTTATATTGTCATTTATCCAGTGAGGTGGAAGAAGTCAGGAGAAAGAAGGTCTGGGAACAATTGCTTAGAGAGGTAACAAACTGGCAACCTACACAGAAATTTAAAAATGTTCTTAGTAAGCCCAGGCTGTTTGCATTTCTCCACTGCAATAAAGGACCGTTTTTGACAAACTAATTTAAAAAACTAAAATCTAATTTTTGATTCATTTCTGACAGCAGTGTAACTGTTGTGTGCAGAGCAATTGGAGAGCATTTAAAGATTTAGTCATTTAATTTGAGGAGATAAACAAATATGATGTACTGACAAAATTGTATTCTTATCCATTTTTTCTGTTTACCTTTCAGTTATTCATTATGCATAAAACACAAATGTTACTTTGGAAGTTTTGTCTTGAATTGGTCCATTTCTTTTCTTTTTTCTGCTCCTCTGACAGCCATGTGAACCATTTCACCGGGACTGTGTATCAGAGTGTTTTACTGTCTCAGAGGCAGACGGTGAAAACCGTCAGCTTGGGTGAGGCTGTTCAGCCAAATACTTCTCCTGCTCAGTGGCCTGGTAAGTCCCACAGATTCAACTTTCAGCTCTGTTTAAAAGAATATTTTAAAGTTTTTTGGGGGGGTTTTCTGTTTCAGCAATTAAAAAAAAAAAAAACCTACTTCAGCACCTATTTCTCTCCTTGTGTGGCATTACATCGCATACATTTATCACATCTATACAAAACGATCTTAACTTTATTGGTGTGCTTTGTAAGAAAATAAATGTGATTGCCCATCGGATGCAATTTCACTATAAATTTTAGGCATTCAGGTTTTTCTGGCTTGTCTTTCATTTAGCTGTGGTTTAGTGTCATTAAGGTCTAAAAACGAATAAAGGAAAATGGCACATATTGATAATATAACTAAATCAGAAATTATATCCCAAAATCCTTAAAACTCATACTAATACTTTGATGACAGAAACTTTAAGTTGCTTCTAAATGTTTAGTCTGTGTTGGCTTTAATTCCACTAAACTTGAAGCAAACATATCACCAAATACAGATAAACGCACAACAAGGACTCTAAAAGCTGTTTTTGTCTTAAAAATTTATTTTAAAGTTGCATATCTGCTTTGAAAACCAATAGAAAGGCCAATTGAATCCAGAGTTTTTTGACTTGCTATTTAAACTTTAGTTTTGGGCTATGTATTCATGTGATTGTAGAGAATATAGCAATAAATATTTCTCTCTTACTGAGTAGATTACATGTTTAAAGTTTCAGTATCTTTCTTCTCAGTCTTTTTATTTGAAGTGGAAACACTGAACTCTAGCACGATAATTTGATACATTCCAGCAGATGTAATAATGGACAGAGCGAAGTGAATTATTAGCGCCGTCAATATTTTCTTTCCCCTTATGAACATTGTGGTTGTGACATAAAGCAAAACTTAAGGATGTCATGAAAACATTAGTTTTTGCTTACTCTGCAAGTAGAGGATAATTTAGAGTAAACCAAGCAACATTTTAGCAGAACATTTTATTCTCATCAGACACTGCAGGCTGTCAGTGTAGATATTTTATTGTTGCATTAATTATTAAAGATCTTTCTTTGCTGCTGTCCATCTTTTTAATAATTCATTGCGTAGCAGTTGACTGTACCAACATCAGACCTTCTGATCTCCATTTGGATTTTATTTAGATTTAAATGTTGTCTTTGAGCTGGAATCATTTATACATAAATTTTTTATTCGGTCTCTCTGGCTTGGGATGTGTCTGCTGTCTGTTTTTATTTATAGATCTTTGGTGGTGGCAATTTAGTAACGTACAACAGAAAATCCTCGGAGGCATTAAGAAATGTTTCAGCTTAAGAGAAGCCAGTAATGGCTTCCTGTTGATGTTTTAATGACATAAACTATCCTTATTTTATGTGTTGGGAACAACCATTTATAGTCATTTTAAAAGCCTATTTTGTTCTCACACGTTGATCCACTCCTGAGATCTAAAGGATTTCTGATTAAAACACACAATATTACTAACATAAAAACTTTTATTAGAGCGTCCCTTTTTTAAATCATGTGTTTAACATGGACATATTTGTCCTTGGTGCAATTTATTGGATTTAAGGCCCTTCTTGTTCCTGTTCTGTATTGCTGATGCATTTGCTTTAGGAGGGAGCAGAAGATTAGGATGGTGGCATCCAGCCTCAAATACATAGTGGTCATCAGTTAAGATGATCCAAATGGAAGTAGAAACATGTAAAAATATGGTTGACTACTGTAATGCTTTAAAATATTTTCATTGATTGAGAGGGGCATAGTTAGAAAAATATATAATTATGAAATGGATATTATTTCTTTCTAAATTAATCCTGCTTTTATCAACATGTCCTATCAAAAGTAATTTAAAATCTAAAAGACTCTGTGCTGTTGCTTAAAGTTTTCAGACACAAAAATGCTTAAATTTTCTTCCCTTTGCAATTTTTCCATTTTGTTGTTTCTCCAGGTATCGCCTCTCTTATTCACCTGTTGAGCTCCGCAGGTGAGGAGACCCAGCCGGGTCTGGCTGTGCTGCTCTGTGAGATCCTGACAGCAGTCTTCCTCAGTCTGTTTGTTCACGGCATGGCCACACACTCCAGCAACGAGCTGTTTCGCATCATGGCTCACCCACTCAACTGTAAGCTTTGGATGACTGTGTTTGGAGGAGGTGCCCGTGTCCCTGTCATGGATAAAGCCAGCAGTCCAGCCAGAACTCCGCCTACAAGTGATTGTTTTGCATTTTTTTGGGGCATAGAGGCTAAATGAAACGTAGCTTCTTCAAAACAAATTATACGTGGCTTAGTATTGTTTTGTTTAGATTTTTTTTGATTGGTTGAAACATGTTTAACACTTTTTTTTTTGTCTTTTTTTTATCAGCCTCCCCAAGTGGGTTGGACCAGAAACCACGACGATTCAAGCTTCTGTCATCCCGCAGTGGATCCAGGGAAGAGTCTGGAATCGAGCGTGAAGGACCTTGCAGTCCTAAGATCGTAGTGGAACAGGAAGCGACCTCCATTTTTAAAGAGGATTTTGTTCCTCCAGATCTCAGTATTTGGGATTATTTCATTGCCAAGGTAATCTACTGCACAGACAACAATGAGCAAAAACTCATGGCTCTTCTTGCTCCTGCAACTGATTCCTTCTTGCCTCTGTCCTTCCGCCTCTCAGCCTGAGCTGCCACCGTCACAAAACAGAGTTGAGTATGACTCAGAGGAGAGCCAGGACAGCCAGGATGAAGATGATGAAGACCTTGAATCTGAAGATGTGTTTGAGCCCAACCTGCCACAGAAAGAGCATTCAAACCATAATTCATACAGGTGACATAATTTATACATACTCTGTGTACTGTGACTCATCTTCTCCCCTCAAAACAAGACGCTTAGATTAATCCTGGATGTCTTCACCGAGCCTCATGTTTCTCCTTTCAGTTGTTTCCATTGGAGCTTCCTTCAATTGCTGCTCCACATTCAGCTTGAACACCGCATGACGTCCCTCTATAACAATCTGATTTGTCATGACTTCTTTTCTCTTGAAGCTGGTGTTTGATGCGCCTGGCCATGGTACAACTGGTGTTGGTCAACCTCAAGTCCTTTTACCCGATGGCAGGGTATGATCTGTTGGGTAAGCGCTAAAATACTCTGCATGCTAAAACAAATAACATCCAGGATGGAGATGAGTGCTGCCCTACTTCATTCTGCCTCACTCAGCTAATCTTGTTGCCTCCTCCTTTGTGTGCGGCTGCTTTTTTTAAACACAGATTTGCCTGTGGCCTCGCCTCTGTGTCACGCTGTGCTGAAGACGCTGCAGCGATGGGAGCAGGTGCTGCAAAAGAGGCTGGAGCTGTTCGGCGGCCCTCCGGCAAAGTACATCTCCACTCACCTCCAAGACGAGATCCCAACTCCTGGCCCCGCCCTGCTCAGACACAAAGCCCTGTTTGAGCCATCCAACACCCCCTTCAGGTACCATCGTTTTATAGGTTGAACTAAAATGATCAATTTCTTTTTTTTTTCTTCCTCTGAGGTGAAGACAGAGGATGAGAGTTTGCTATTGTTTTTTTTTTTTTTACATATAAAATATTCTTTGATTTGTTTGCTGTTGCTGTTTTTTCCCGTTTCTCCCCCATCTTTGTAAGCTGTATTTTGACGATGAGTTTTTAAATGTGATTTTTCTTTTTTTTTTGCATTAGCTTTGTGCTACTAATTAATCATCACTCAGAAGAATGTATATGTTTTACTCTAATATTCTTATTATTTTTCCCAGAAGCAGCCACCACTCGGTACTGCCGGTGAAGCGTTTATGGCAGTTCTTGGTGAAACAGGAAGAGGTGCAGGAGACTTTCATTAGGAACATCTTCACCAAGAAACCAGGCACAAATCAGGTGCGTCACATTTAGTCTACAACCTGCTGCATGAGACACGCTTTATTAACCCTCACTAAGTAGCATATTTACCACAGTGCATCTGCATGAATCCCCGGTCAGATGGCATCATTAAATCCATGTTAATGCCTTTGTGCTTTTTGGGTGCTGCATGCAATCCACATGTATTATAATTGCCTTCATTAGCATGTTGATGCTTCCATTTTGTATGCAGATAATTACACGCTGAGCTAATAACATTACAGTAAATCAAAGTTTGTGAATTTGCATGTTTTATCACTGGTTGTTGTGTGTTTTGTTTGTGCTGGTCTACCCTTTCGCTGCTCCCCCAATCACTAAAGTCGGTTGAGGACCACACTGACAGTATGAAATATTCAGGAGTGGAGGAGGCAGGAAACAGTCAGGTACTGCTACTTATTGATCAATGATTGCTTATGATGTGGGAGTGGGATGAGTGAGATCGACTTTGGTTTCAAATCTCAGAATTTTTTGCAACACTTTTATTAGGTCAAAACTCCCCAAGATGAAATGCTTGCTTTAAAATCTTTGACCAAAGATCCACCAATCAAATGTTTTATGGTCCAGTGTGGGTCAAGCTGAAAATTGTCTGATTTTGGTCACACCCTTGGTCATTTCTGGTCCTTTGCTTTGTAAAAAAAAAAAAAAAAAGGCAGTGTTACAACAGGTTCTGAGAGATGTAATAATTAATGTAAAAATGAAATTAAGAAAAACCTCTTCTCTGCGTTTCAAAGTCCAGCTTTGAAATGCAAATTCACTAGGAAAAAAAATCAAGCAAATCAAAGAAAAGTGTCTTGAGCTGTAAAGTTTTTTTTGATGGGGCTCCATGTTTATCAGCAGGCTTTTACGGAGCACAGTGTGCTTCTAAATATAGCACCCAAGCTTTGCGACTTGCAGAACAGAACATTTTATGTAATTCTTTTAACACTAAGATGTGTATGGCATGCTGCTGTTCACTTCTGTAAATGTAACACCTTATGTAACGCACGTCATGGGTTTAGAGTTTGAGTGGTTCAAGCAGGGGTGGCAATACGCATACGTGTTCAAAGTACTCGTCATCTCCTTTTAAGCTGCAAATGTGACCTCTTTAATCCAATTTTAAAAGATTCTGACATAATTACACTACATGTATTTTTAGGACTATAAACTCTGAATGTTGCCGTCATGAGTTTGAGATTAATTTTACATTTACCTGCCTCAGTATTAATGTGAATGGGAGGCTTAAATTTTAGATCAGTCTGTAAACTGATGCTTTACAGATGATCTGGCTTCCACCATGAGAGCCGGCACATTGTAGGTACTCCATTTGGTTCATTTTTAATTAACCCAGTCTCTCAGAGGACACCCTATGAAGCTGAACAGCTTCACATTAATGGGCTCAACTCTGTCGCAGTGAATCTGCATCCTGCAGAGATTATGTGCTAGAGAAAATGGCAAAACACCATATTTAGATTTCTGCAGGTCAAGTTTTGTTTGACTCTTTGAAAGAAAACGACACAATCTTTTCCTCCCGACTGAATGCGCAGAAGACTTTAATTCAATCTCGACTCGAGTAACTTGGTCGTCAAGTTCTAGCTTCTGTGTCCAATGTGCAGAGCTGCAGAAGAGCCTGCAGAGCCGTACGCATCCCACCGGACCACTCATCGCTCCAGGGTCTTTTTCCCTTCTGCTCTCTACTAGCCAGCATTTACGTACAGAGCCTTTCAACTCCCTTGACCTTTTTTTGTGTTCATGTTCCAGTCAAAAACATTATTGTTTTTAATTGGGATTTAAATAATTGATCAACACAAAGGCATGCATAATTGTGATGAGGTTTCAAAATTACTGTACATAAAAACCTTGCAAGTGCTTTGTACATTTGTGCAGAACCACCTTTATTCTGATAGCCTATTATATCAATTGCTCTCAGAAGTCAGTATTGTCTACCTTTGTGTAATTTAATCTCAGTATAAATTTTTGAGTTCTCTGAAGGTTTGCTTAAAGACCAGAGAACAAAGACCGGTCAAGGAGAAACTTATGGAGAAGTATAGAGCAGGATAAGGCTGTAAAACAATATCCCAAGCTCTAAACATCTCTGTTCAATTCGTCAACTGAAAATAGAAGTAGTATGACACTACTGCAACCCTACAAAGATTAAAGAATAAATAAACAATAATCAGGTTTAAATATTTTGATGCCAGATGAGTCCAAACCTGAACTTTTTGCCCAAATAAAAAACATTTTTTGCATGATAAACATTGCACATTTTCCTGAATACATCATCTCTTTGGTAAAGCATGGTGGTGGCAGCATCATGCTGTCGGGATTCTTTTTCAACTGGTTAGTTCATGGGAAGGTGGATGGGGCAATCCTGGAAGAAAACAAGTTAGACTTGAGAGGAAGTTCTCCTTCCAAAAAGACAGTTATGGTAAACTGGCAACTAATACTATACATTCCTAGCTACAATTCATGGGTTAGTATGGCCTAGTCAAGGTCCAGGCCTAAATCCAATTGAAAATCAATAGGAAGACTTGACATTTGTTCTTTATCGGTGCTCTCCATCCAATCCATCTCCTAATGCTAGGTCTCTGGATGTGCAAAACTAGCGGAGATGTAATGGGTGGTTCTGGTTATCATTTTTCTTTTCACTTTATAATCCTGGACCACTTTTTGTTGCTCTGTCACGTAAATTCCCAATTAAACACATTGAAGCTTTTGGTGGTAATGTGAAAAAGATTAGGAAGTGTGAGTACTTTTTGCACTGTAGCGCTGTAATCGAGCCTTAATGAACAAGAGGAGTTTGGCCTGATTCAGTTTTTCTTCTATTCAACAGAATTCTTAAATGCTATAGAAATAAAAATAATTTATAGGATTAGCTTTGCAGATAAATTCTGCTGAACATAACTTGACAAATAATTTGTTCAGCTCTCTTATGTCTGTTCCATAGTTTAAAGGAAATGGAGCAGGGATTAAGGCTGTTATTTGTCTGCAGGAAATATTTGCCAATGTTTCACTTGTAATTACTAAATCTCCATGGTGGTGACATGGTGTGTGTGTGTGTGTGTGTGTGTGTGTGTGTGTTACTCGCCACAGACTGAGTCAGATCTGGGCTGGCCCGGAGGCAAAGCACGCATCATCCACAAGGAATCTGACATCATTACAGCCTTTGCCATCAACAAGGTAAAAGTCTCACACTGATGTCACTAAATATTAGAAAACAAGATGAAAAAAGATACAAGTGTTCACAGTTAATTACTTCAGTTCCTTGTTTGGCTGCCTTTGCTCTTTTTTTTTATTTTTTTTTCCCCTCAGTAATATAAAACTTTTATCAGTGCCATGGAAGCTGATGCAGTATTCGTGATTTGTGTTGTAGCTCTGTCTTTGCAGAAACACGGTTCTCTGTAATGGAAAACTGCTGCAGAAACTTGTTTACTTAGAATTCTAATTATCATTGTGACCAAATATTATGCAACAGACTTTGCTCGTTTTGTCATTTCCCTTCAGCATTTATTTTTTATCTCCTCTAGTTGGTGTTTTTATAAAAATGCTACACATTTCATGCATAGACTAATATTGTGCATAGAATAAATTTGTTTAGTCATTGAAATTTTTCACTATAATTTGTGATAAAACTGAATGTGGAACTAGTAGGTCAGCAGAAACATGGTATATCTGTCTTCTTGTTTATTCAATTAATATTTTAGCACAGTGTATAGTTCTAAAAACAGCTTAATTTTTCTTAGTAAAATAGGCCAGTTGCCAAAAATATGTAAAGGTACATCTGGAAAATATGCCGTCACTCATTTCAAAGAGTACAATTTATTAAGATTTGTTACCTGTAGAGTGACACATTGCAAGCATTTATTTTGTGTAAATTTGATCATTGTTGCTTAGAGATAGCAAAATTCTCCCTTAGAAAATTTGAATATGATGAAAAAGTTGAATATTGAAAACTCTTGGTGTCAATTTCCTCTTCATGAGACTGTATTAGGAAAACAGATCCTCTTCAGTCAGAGGCTTCTTCAGATCTACTGTAATATAGACTGCTACAAAAGATGTTTCCTGCTGACAGACATCATTGAGTTACAACAGCATTTAATTTCCATTGAGGATCAATAAAGCAGTTTTGAATTTAATCAGCTGACTAGCTCAAAACACGTGCAGAGGTTTCCTGAGGTCCTCGGAGGTCTCTGAGTCTGGGTGTGAAGCTACGCAAAAGTGGGTAAAACTGCTGATCAGACAAATGTTGTTGACACCTTTTACAGCGAAGCTACGGCATGAGAAACTGGCTGCTCAGAGTTCTGTATCCCAACACATTCATAGAAAGTTGAGTGGAAGGAAACGGTGTGATAATAAAAGGTACTTCAGCAACAAGGATGGCTGTGACCTTGAGAAGTTTGACAAAAAATCCAATCAAGAAACTTCACAAGAAGTGGACTGAGCCTGAAGTCGGTCCATCAAGACCCACTGGTCAGACGTTTCCTACACTTGGACTACAAATATCGTATTCTTCGTGTCAAGGTACTCCTGAACCAGAGCTTGTGTCAGAAGCGAATTATCTGAGCTACAGAGAAAAAGAACTGGACTGTTGCTCAGGCGTCTAATGCCTTTTTTTCCCAGATTAAAGAAAAGTTTGGATTTCATTTGATAAATCAACATCCCAGAGTTTGGTGGAAGACTGGAGACACAGAATCCACATTGCTTTAGGTCCGGTGTGACGTTACCTCAGTTGGTTAAGATCTGAGGCGCCCTGTGTTCTGCTGTTTTATGAAGTCTGCAGTCAACACAGCCATCTACCAGGATGGTTTTAGTCACTTCTGGTCTCTTCCTCCTAACAAGCTTTTTGGAAAGCTTGTTGGTTTTACTGTCCAGCTGGACTTTGCACCTGCCCACATTGCCAAATGTACCAATAACCTCTTTAATGACCACATTGTCTCTGGGATTTGGGTCAGATCATTTTGCTGGCAGTTTCAGCTCAGAGAGAATGCGTTTCTGTCAGGAGGACAATGAAAAACACTAGATCCAACAATCCAGATGAGACAAATGCTGCTGTTATTTCACCCTGGGTTTCCTTAACATTTCAATAGTTTTGCATTGTTGCAGTAATTCATGCAAAATTAGCCCAGACAAAGTACTGATGGTCAAAAACACAAAATCATACCAAGTATATCTGGTTTAGTTTCTAGTGCAAATATTGTAGTACACTTAAAATAAGACAAAAGTAACTTTTCAGCAAGAAATTTGGGAATGTCTTAAGCCAATAACTCCTTAATATTTATGGAAAAAGAACTAGTTATAAGTGAGATAATCTGCTAGTAGAACCAGACATTTTTTCCATGTTATATGTTAAAATGTCTTGTTCCACAGGAAGATTTCACTTATGACTAGTTCTTTCATCAATATTAACTTACAACAAGTCCTTATATTGTGTGCAGTGCATGGGCATATTTTTCAGTAGGTCGACATTTTGATTTGGAAAGGTTTTGTTTTAATTAGCCATGAGCCATAAACAATTCAAGTTATCCAAAGTAATTGACTGAAATGTATCCCTTTGTGGTTAATGCATCTTCAGTTTAATATAAAAAAAAAAAAGAAATATTTTCTGCTTAAGGACAGACAGGTTTGTTGTTCAACACAAGCACAAAGTGTTACTACACACTGTTTGTGTCTACAAGTGACATCTTGATGCTGATGCGAACCGACATGGATGAGCTCTGGCCAGTAGGGAAGTTGGAGGCCGGGGTCAGCCGACTTGATTAGAGCACATTAAATTTGTCTGATGCAGAGTTTCCTCTGAGACTCAACCTGTTTTCTCCTCTCTTCCATCCCTTTCTTTCCTCTTGCCCCGTCTTTTGTCTGTCCACCAGGCAAACCGTAATTGTTTAGTCATGGCCTCCACACATGACATTCAGGAGCTGGACGTGTCATCCATCTTGGCCACGCAGATCTTGACTTGGATCGATGAAGATGAAGTCGAATCCAAAGGGTATGAGAGCAATCCTGCATGTTTGGGCATGTTGCTTATTCGCACTGCGCTGGTTTGCACCAGGAGTGACATCAACTCGCTCACTCATTATTTGTTGGCAGTATTTTTCATTTTAACTCAAATTCGGATTATTTTTAATTTAAAATCTAAGTATAAACAATCATTTTGATGTAGCTGTAGCCTTAAAATATGAATATATTCCTGAATGCAGATGTAAGGCTGTTCATTTGCTGCGCGAAATTAATCCCTAACCAGTCAGGTTGTGTCTTCTGACCCATGTCATCTAATTATACATGTCTAATTATTTTTCTCCCTGTAGTGTTGGTGGTGATGACTTCCTGGTGGTCCATGCGCGTGATGACTTTGGTTCGCTTCACGGCACCACTCCATACACTCACAGCAGCCCGGGCACGCCCATCAATGTGCCTTGGCTTGGAGGGCACCAGACCGGCAGAGGTGCAGCTGTGGTGAGTTTAACATTAAAACCAGGCACAGCTGCGTGGTAAATGCACACCAATGAACGCTGCAGGTGTTAAGAATGACAATGGCTTAGTAGGCTTCATTTTTACTTCACAGTATATAAGCTAGTGACGGTGCAATAACGGTTTTCTGTCCCTGATCTGACTTAACTATAGATTAGACTTTTGGTCATCTGTCTAAATGTATTAGGAAAAATTCAATCTGTACCATTTTGTCCCAGTCAAATAACTCTACAGGATAGGCTTCATATTCTGCTAATATTCTGTTACCAGAACTATTATGTGTGAAATGTGCATAGCATTTATTTCTAAATTTGATTTGGCACATCCAGTAGCAGGCTTTAATGAAAACAAGTCCTACTTGAAAGTGCTAGGCTAACATTGGCATGCTTTGTCTCTTTTCAAGTGACTCGTTGATAATTTGCTTCATGAAGTATTTCAGTGCATATCCAATAAATCATTTGCAGACAAAACTTACAGGGGAAAAAAAAATCTGCATTTTTAAACATACTGCTTTTGTTTTGAACATCTGAACCTGTAATATCTGCTTTTTGTCTTGCGTTAAATAATACAGACTGCATTTTGGGAATATCTGTAAGCAAAGCAAGTCACGTGACTCAGACAGGAATAAACAGCAGCCTGTAGAATCAGTTAAATGTGAACATCAATGTTGAGCATGAAGCGTTTGGAAATCATTTCCTTACTAATAACATTTGCACAGTTTTGCAAGTTGTCTGCAAAAATTACCGACCGACCTAAACACAGATATTAAAGCACAGAGATCAGGGCTGAAATACTGAGGACTTTGATTATCCAATAAGGGCATTTCTAATTTAAAAAAAAAAAAAATTTTTTAGAATTTTGCATTACAAAACTAACTTACTCAGGTATAGAACCTTGTGGAGCAAGCTAATTAGTAGCTTAAATCAACAAAATATGTATTAGATCAGTGCAGTTTAAAAAAAATGTAACACAAAATGTTTGAGCCTACTTGGGGCCATAATTTATTGCTGCCAAGAATTTATTGATGCCTATTTCTCAGTTAAGTTAAATTAACTGGATAAAGGTTATTGAGGCAGGTCAAGATGAAAATTTTCTTTATGGATCAATCAATATGAAACATTCTGATAATCGGTTTTTGAAAGTCGTTTCAAAAACCCATTTTCCAAAAAAGCAGTAAAACAATTTTGGCTTTCAAACAGCAGAGATGGTATAACTTTACAATTATAATGCCAAACCCTGCTCTTCTGGAAGTAACTGATGCCTTTTGCTCCTAATCTGCTCTTCTTTGTTCTCAAAGCAAAATCCTCAATGCAGTTGAAATAATTTACATTAATAATTCATTTTCATCTGCGCCCAGTTTGCCAAAAGCATCCTGGCTGCTAACATAAGCTCCCATCATAGACTAACAGAGAAAATGAGGTTGTTTCCCACCTTTTTGCTTTTTTGAAGCTGTGGTTTCAGCTGGTTTCAATATAAAAAGGCAGGAAGCCGTTTTTTACTCAGAAGCTTGGCGTTATCATCCGGAAGGGAGCTGGATTTAATTTTATGGTCTGAATCATGTAGGCGTGAGTCATGTTTGTTGATTTTTACCCATTTCACGTATTGTTATGCGGACTGGGCAGTAAAATCCACTCAGGATGATTATGATGTTACAAAGCAGTCATGCGGTTTGCAGAAGGTTGGAGGAGAAAAAGTTGTGGCTGAATAATGGAATAAAAAATAAAACTGTGACGTTAATGTGTGCTTTTACAGAGCCAACAGCTGAAAAGTGGGACAGAAGAGCTGCAGTAGATTAAACTGAAACAATTGTCGAATTCCGTTGCTCAAAGTAACATTGCATATTAGGTTTATGCAACGTTGGTGTCAACATGTTTTGATGTTAACGGCTTTCTAGCTTTATAAGTTATGAATCAGAGCTCGAGGATGATATAATAATCCAAGGCAAAACATGAAAACAAAAGTCACCACATGATTTACGTCTGTAGAAATGAGGGAAAGGGACGTTGGGAAGCAAACAAATGGTTTGTTACCAAACCTGTGCAGATCTGAATGCTGATGAGGGAATCCAGTCCTTTGAGTCAGGTGTGTTGGAGAAGGGATGCATCTGAAATTGTTGGATAGTTGCTCTCGAGGTCTGGACTTGGGCAAACATGCGCTAAGTGGTGCGTAACAACTCTGAACCAGCCCTGAAAATGGATGGCTGTGAAGCCTGAGGGCGTTCTGGAGAGGTTGGCGCGTTAGAAGACATTAAGCTCCCAGCGTATGAGATGCTGTGGCAATTTGTTCTTGAAGTTTGTTCTGTTAGATGTCAAAAATGAGTATATTTATCCAGGACAGGTTCATCAAAAAGAAAAAAAAAAGTGGAACAGTTGAATATTATGTCTTATAATTTTTAGGTTTATACTTTATGGAAAAAACAAAAATGCAGTAAGAAAAAAAAATATTTAAACAAATGTCAAGCTCCTGAAAAATAGATTAATTTCCACTTTGGACCTCCAGTTGCATGAATTACTGCATCAATGCACCGTGGCACAGAGGCAATCAGCCTGTGGCACTGTGTAGGCGTAATTGAAACCCAGACTGCTCTGATGGATCTACCATCTTTTGACAACAGCCCATAGATTTTCTATGGGGTTAAAGGTCAGGAGAGCGAATCATAGTTACCAAACCAGGTTTTGGTAGCTTTGGCAGTGTGAGCTGCTGCTGCTAAATCCAGCTGGAAAATAAAATCAGCTTCTGGATTTCTGCAGAAGACGGCAGGAAGTGCAGTAGAAGTTGGAGAAAACACAAGACGTGAGCCCAGGGGTTACCGATATCCTGCTTTTTCAATACTCAGTTTTTCTGAGATGGTGAAGTTTGGAGTTTCATTTTCTCTAAGCTATAATCATTTCTCCATGTCTAACGGTTCTATGTAATAGATCAGTTTACCTTTGACTGAATAAATATTTAACTTTTCACAATATCTTGTTTTGTTTTAGATGCACCTTTATAATTTATCTGTTTATCAAACACCCTCTGTGTTTATAATCCATGTTTCTCTCACTGTGAGTTCATGGGTTGTCCTGGTCCATCATCAGCGCTAAATTATTCAGCCTGCAAGGTTTTTCCACAACTGTGGTTCATTTTCACCACAGTAATAACCTTAAAACACCGAAGAGTTTTTGTTTTTAAGTCCAAAAAGTTTGCTATGTTTCTGTTTTTCTCTGAGATCCCCCTATGACCTGCACCATCATTCCTAGCAATGCAATTATTCTGACCTTTTTCTTTTACAACAGTATATTTCTCTGCTTTAAAAATACGTTTAGGTTTCTTGGTTAAGCTCATGTCCACCCCCTCTTTCCTCTCCTTCTCCCAGATGATAAAGAGAAATATCAACAACGTGAGAAGAATGACCTCTCATCCCACACTGCCATACTGTAAGTAGAACTCTGACGTCTGTCAGTAGATCGGAGGAGTCATTGCCTTTATATTAAAAATGCAACACATTTGTCATATTCTGGTCTGAAAAGCCTCCAGGGGAGCATTACATCACCAAAAAATGTACATATTCTGCAACTGAAATAGTTTTTTTGTTGTTCTTTTTTCCTGCTGCTGCTCAAATAAAGATTATGTTAGCTCTCTTGGTTGAGATTCTTGTACGTTTTCTCTGAAAATGCAAACTGGGGAGGACAATTCCCAGCATGTCAGGAAAGCGTGTATAAATGAACCCCTTCCTTGATCAATTATGGATGGTTTGAGAACTAAACAACAGCGAAGATATGCTGAGAACCGTGCACTGATTGACATCTACCTAAAAGATGTTACATCTTCGTTTCTGCTGTTCCTTTTGCTGTTCGTCAGACCTGACAGGAGCTCAAGATGGAAGCGTGAGGATGTTCGAGTGGGGTCACTCTCAGCAGATCATCTGCTTCAGAAGTCCGGGCAACTCCAGAGTCACCAGGATCCGATTCAACCACCAAGGGAACAAGGTCACAAATTCACACTCGTCCTTCTAGAACCACATCTGAAGTTTGAAATGAATCTGATAAAGATGAAGCGTAAATATTGCACGGAGTACGACAAGATTTTGTTTTGAATATCTGCTGTGCAGCCAACATTTTAATTGAATTGCATCGTTTAAAGCTCGTCATTTTCAGTTATATCCAAGGTTGCAGCTAACAATAGTTAGATTAATTGCCATGTCTAGAGTATAAGACAGAGCTGAACTCGGGCATCAGTGCATGACACCATGTTTCTCAAAGAAGGAAGTAGTGATGGCAAAAGCTTAGAATGTGGAGATTTATAAATCTTATAATAAATTTTGCAATGAAGCAGAAATCAGGAGAAATGCTGTCCGAGTAGCTTAGAGAACCTAACAAACCAGCACAATGCACAGCAATTTAAAAGCTCAGTCTGTAATTTACTGTAGTGTACAACCACTTTTACCAAGCATTATGATGAAAAACTAAAATTGTGGTCGTATTTAGATGAACGTTGCAGTTTTTCTTCATTGTTTCTCTGATGCACAAAGACTCAGGTCAGCACTCCAAACTGCAAACAGAATCCTTTAGTGTTTTTGTAAAAGATATCAGCAGTCAATGGAAGCAGATACAATTCTCACTTTTCTCCGCTAATAACTTGTTTCACTCATGAAGGTTTAACTTTGCTACAGTAATGTAGCAGTCAATCCTTTTTAGTCAATCCAAAGTCAGTTTCTTATGTTTTTCCCCAAAAAATGACTTCAAGCTAGTGCTGCGTGCTAAATGCAGGTTGTAGAAGAAAAAAATAGCCTCTGCTCTTGTTATAAGTCATGGATAAACATGCATGAAATATTTTTAAAAAGCATGGTTGCTGTGGCCATTTAACAAAAGTAGCAGGGAATAGAAGTTGTCTAAAGGCGAAATTTCTTTTTCCTCATTGGGATTAATTCCTGTAAATTTGTCTGAGACGGACAGATTAATGCATGAGTGCTGCAGCTATTAAAATGCAACTGGAATGTCTGGAGAACAGGGATTGAGTTATTAAACACAGATTAAAAACATCAGCAGTTGTTTTGGCCAACAAGGGACACATAAAGTGAAGCACACGGTAAAACAAAGTTTCTTAGTCTCACAAACATCGATTGCTGGCTCAGAGGTCTGGCTGTGGACTCCGCGAGGGATAGACTTAGAAGTTCATGTGACAAATCTGTCATTTTTTTTGTCAAAATCAATCAGTTTCAGTCTTTCTCTTTTAGAGGGATGTGATCTTGAACACTCGTTTTGTCAGAAAAGTAACAAAAAAAACAACAAAAGCATTATAAACCTACTTATTTGTTAGAAAAACACGAAGCCTCACTGTGATTGATTTGTCTCGCATGTTTCTAATTTTAGGAGATTTTGGCTCAGTCATTTTTATATATCCGTCAGGTAATTTGTTGGTACACTGTTATGAAATGGGTCACCATTCTGTTGTGTTCAACGATATTTTCATACTTGCCGTCACAAATTTGCCACTCCAGCTCACACCACCGTGGGGAGTTGGTCCTCAGCACATATTGTTACTGAGCTGAATGAAGCCAGCGTTTTGAACTCAGGCTCTCGCCTCAGGCCAATAATTTTCTCAGATGGTGCCGCTCCTGTGCCAGTACTTATCTGCCTGTGCTGGCCAAGGGAGAGAAATAGGCTCTGGAATAAAAGTAATGCAGAGCGAATACTAGCAGAGCACCTCATTTTAGTTATGTAAGCATATCAGCCAGAACATTATGACCACCGCCGGTGAAATTCAGTAACATTACTGATGTTCTGTTGATCCCAGACTCCCAACAGAACCTTTATTTTTTTGTTTGTTTCCCCTCAACCTGAAAGACAAGTGACTTGTGTGTTGTGTAGAATAATTTTGCTCTCGGTATCATGTTGCAGACCTGGTTTTAGGGTTTTTCTGTGTTCAAATAAATTAACGGTGCGACTGCTTCAATTACTGCAATCTGCTGTCTGTTTGTTTTGTTCAGTTTGGTATTGTAGATGCAGATGGAGGATTAAGTCTCTGGCAAACCAACACCAGTGGGAGCACACTCAAACCGTACCTGGTAATTTATAGTTTATTTATATCCCATTACGGTTGTTATGCGAAATGAATGTTGTACCGGTTTTATTGTTTTGTCATTTTTACCGACTCCCTTCTGTGCTCCTCTCTGCCAGACGTTGCAGTGCCACAACAAGACCGCTCATGACTTTGTTTTTGTTGGCTCTTCTTCCCTCATCGCCACTGCAGGTCTTTCAACAGACAGCAGGTACAAAAACATGAACTATTTTCTTTTTGAACTGTTTCCTTTCCTAAATCTGTATTCCCTGTAACTTAATGTACATTTTGACTGCTGGGGCGATTTGTTTCGAGTTAAAAATGATTAAAAACGTGTAAGCCAGCCAAGCATCCAGTCCCACATCAGCGTTTGGTCAAAAATTACATGTTCCTGAACCATATGGAAATCATTCATAGAACAGCTGAAGATGCTAAAGCGGCTGAGGATGACATATTAAATCTTGTCAGTCAGGATTTATTGTGCGACGACAAAATAGCCAATTCCTTTGACAAAATGGTGTACGTATCAGATTGTGTGATAAGAAGTGGATCATCATTTGGAAATGTTTTTGCTCTGCAGGAATGTTTGCCTCTGGGACACACTCGTCACTCCTGCAAACAGCCTGGTTCATGGTATGCTATTTTTTTTTGGTTAGTTATGAATTACTCAGATTGTTTTGTTTTTTTTGTTTGTTTTGTTTTTTTCCTTAATTGAAAGGAAAAAAATAAATTGTTCTCTCAAATATATACAGCTCTGGAAAGAATTAAGAGACCACTGCACTGGAGCCCAATGAAAACCTCTTGGTTATTTAACAAATATTCAATTCTGAACTCTTCCTGAGTTAAAACATTAGTATTGTTGTTTCTAAATGAATATGAACTTGTTTTCCTTGCATTATTTGAGGTCTGAAAGCACTGCATCTTTTTCATTATTTTGACAATTTCTCATTTTCTCCAACTAAATACTAAATTTTTGCTTGAAATTTCAGCGACATGTCAGTAGTTCATAGTATAAGAGAACAATGTTTATTTTACTCAAACATAAACGTATGGAAAGTAAAATCAGAGAAACTGATCATTTTTAGTGGTCTCTTAATTTTTTGCAAAGCTATGTGTATGTGTATATATATATATATGTGTGTATATATATATATATATATATATATATATATATATATATATAATTTTTTCCATCTGGTTTGATATTAAGTAGTGTTTTTAGATTTTTTCTTTTTTTCTACCTCAAGTAATACTTAAAACTCTGCAAATGTGATTGTTGTTTAAAGACCTAATTATAAAAATTGTTAAAAATAATGCCATTCTGCTTTTAGTCCTCGTGTTTTCTTTCCTGTTTATCCCTCATTTCTTTGTCTCTCTCGTTAGCTTTCTGCTGCCATGACTCCGGCGCCACAGTGCTTTCGATGGCGCAGCGGCGGCAGCTTCTCCTCACCGGCGGGAGGAAAGGTTGCATCACCATCTTGGAGCTTCCGCACCGACACCAGCGGCAGAGTTTCCAGGCCCACGACTCGCCGGTTAAAGCCCTGGCTGTCGATCCCACTGAGGACTGCTTCATCAGCGGATCCGCTGAGGGAAACATTAAGGTACTTAAGTCAGCTGATGAAAAGGATTCGATCAGATGGGAGGAAAGAGTTAAAACCAAGAGAAGGTTAAGTTTTTTTGGGTTTTAGAAAGTCGACCATTTTTAAATGAAAACAGTAATATGGAGACATGAAGCCCTTGATAATGAAAGCACTTCATTTCCTCTGAACAAAGTAAAGTTGTCCGACAGAGAGAACATCCCCGCAGGGCGTCTGGCACCCAGGTGGGAAAGTGTCTGGCCGTCTTCCAGATCGTCAGTCAGATGACGGGCGTTTGTCCACAGGGGCGGCGAGCCCCATCAAAGTCAATGGAAATCAATGTCACTCGATGATTAACCATCTGCTCTGGACAGCAGTGACTGATGGAGACGTATGTCGAAGGTGAAAGTGGGTGGCACTAAAAATAAGGCAGAGGACTTCTACTCTTTAAGTTTTCGAATGAAGAAGTTTTATTTTTTTCCCTCCATGTCGGGGGGGTGGGGACTTTAATCTCCTGACTTGATTAGATTGGTGCTGATCAGACAGCTGTTGCAGGATGAAGGCATTGTGCTCTAGTTACGGATCTCTGCTCAGAATTCAAATGACTTTCACTCTGGATTATTGCTCATGAAAAAGCTTCAGAGCGTCGAGTGATGCTCCTGATCTGAAGTCATTAATTGTATATTGGCTGAATGAAAACTCTGTCATTAAATCTGCACATGGAGAAACTCTTAAAGCCCTGCAAGAAAGACCAGCAACTGTGTGATAAGCTCATATATTTAATAGACTTTAGTGTATTGAGTTCAGTATCCAGTAACAGTGTGTGCAGAAATCAAGCTGCTTTAGAGGAAGGAAATGGGAAATAACCTAACTTAAAGGTAATTTAAGTTAGGTTACAGGTTTGCAGCTTTCACCTAATTTAATGCTGCAAACAAGAGCAACATTTCTCTTTTTATCTTTAAACAATGACTCAGCTGCTTTTCTAGACTGTTGCTCCTCGAATTGTTTTTTTTTTTTTCTTCTCAGTTCTGATGCTATAAAATTCCCACTAGTGTTCTCTTCAGATTACACCCATGTGGTTTCTGTTCATTCCTCTTCCGAAGGGATCATGGGGTGTACTTAATTTTTCCCTGCGATGCTGTTTGAAGTTGAAGCCTTTACTTACAGCACGGTCTTGTGCAGCCATCTGCAACTTTACTTTATTGCTCCGTTTTGTCCTCAGAGCAGCTGCTTTATTCCTCTCAGTCCATAGCTCTCGTTTATGTTTCCACGGTGAGGACAAGAGCTACCGAAGGACATCAGAGCAGAACTGTCCCTCTAAACCTTTAAAAGGCTTTGAAGACTCGTCTCCTCTGAGGGCAGCTACTCTTCTAAAGCCTATAAATTGCTGCTACTCTCATGTTTCTGCTCTTGGACTCGGTCCGTTTGAAAATGTGCTCAGGCTTCCAGCCTTTTTTTCCCGCTGAACCTGAGCTGCTTTTGTCTTTGATGCACTTGTAAAAGCAGAACAAACCAGGTTGATCGTTTGCTAATAAATATTGTTTTAAGATTTGAAACTGGAGCTGAATGGAGTTTTCTAGCCTCTAAAACTGAGTCGCTGAATTCAAATCCAATGCAGAAGTCAAGCCTGCAGCTCTGATTGGCTTGTCATCTGAAACCTGAGCAGCAGAGAGAAGAGCATCCATCAGAGAAACAGCCAAGAGGCTCCCAGTGACTCTGGGGGAGCTGCAGAGAGCCGCAGCTCAGGTGGAAGAAGTTTTAGACAGTTTGAAGATTATTGTGAGCCACATGGAGAACACAGCAAACATAGAAGAATATTTTATTGATCCCAGCCTGAAATTAAATATTGTAACTCATATTAATTAGAGGTAAATAACTGCTAGATATTGAAAGTTCCAGTTGTGGTGGAGAAATGGGCAAAAACATTTACTCACACGATGTTTAAAGAACGTTGTACAATTAGAATAAGCAAAAATATCCAGGTGGAGATTTGAAACTTGGGCCTTAAATGGTCAAGAAGCATTAAAGTAAGGACTAACAGTTTATACCCAGTAGCCATTAAATGCCACTTAGTACTATTTATCATCCAATTTTCTTTATAGTCCATGAAAATGTATTACAAGGTTTCAATAATGACAATAAAAATTATTGTTTGATTAAAGGTTCTTATAAAGACAAAACAAGCTTGTAAGGAACTGACATATAGGAGCTTCTTTTAGGTCAGTAATTCCTCAATATTGATTAAAACTATTTCCACTGGCAGATTATATTAAATATATCTGGTTAAGTGTTATTGATTAAATAAGTACCTTTATTTAATCAATAAAAGCACTTTTATTGATTAAACATACTTTTTAATCAATAAGGAATTATTGACCTAATATAATCTCTTATATCTCTGCATAGTTACTTAGAAGCTAGTTTTGTCTTATTTCAACTATACAAAGATATTTGGACTGGAAACTATCAAAGTAACACTTGGTAAGTTTCTACAGTCATTTATTTTGTTCCTGATCTGGTTTTGGCCTCCAGGTGTGGAGTCTGGCCACGCAGGGCCTCCTCTACCACTTCCCCAACGAACACGCCCGCCAGTCGCTGTTCAGGAACCTGGGCACGGGGGTGATGCAGATCGAGGTGGGACCGGCCAGCCACATCTTCTCGTGCGGCGCCGACGGGACCATGAAGATGAGGACGCTCCCCAACCGCTTCGCCACGGCGCAAAGCAGCAGCAGCAGCAGCCCCAAGGGCGACGTCAAGTTCTTCATCTAGACGTGAAAACATGGCGGATACGAACGACGCAGTAAAATAATCTGCTGTGATTTTCTTTTTCTCTTCCGTTTTTTTTTTCTTATGAAATGTGAACCCAAATCTTGTCTCCAATGGCGACCAAGCACAGGAGCTTTTCACAAGTGTTTAAAACTGCAGCTGAGTCGAGCACAGGGTACAGATGAGAGCACGCTCAGCCAACAGGACCGCCGGCTCCCCGTCCACTGAGGAGCTCGTTTTGCACAGAGAGGGAAGCTGGAGACGTCTCGTATAAATGACAGGCGACCCTCTGTGGGAAGCATCGATGTAACGGAATCACATCCGGTCAGAACGCAGCTGGACGTTCGACCGGATCGTCGGGAGCGAGCAGATGCCAATGTTCCCGTCGCTGGTATCGCGTCACGCTTTTCACTGGAGCTGCTCTCCAGACGGACTCAATCAGTCGAATGAAGTTGGAGATGAATGCAGGCGGTCGCCTTTACAGGAGATGCTTCTTGCTTTCTGACAGATGAGTTGGATTAAACACTAACTGAACAGTAATGAAGGTCCAAACAGCCTTTAGCTCTGCTGTTGCCAGGCAATAGCAGCCGAGCAAAGATAATCAGCAGAGATTCGTTCAGGCCTGACCAGTCGCCTGCTGTTCTGGTCATTTTCAACCCGCTCTGCAGATTCTTAGTTATTTAGACCAGACATATTTCTGAAGAGCACAACCAGGGAGACGATGACAAAAGTTACGATTAAAAATGATTTAAAAATTCATTGCAGGCTTTTTTTTTTCTCCTTTTTTGTTAATAAATTTGGCAGCGCTAATAATCAGAGATTAACCTTAGAAATAAAGCTATGAGATCGACTCCTGTAGTTCACCAGTTGCATCAAGTGGTGCGACTGAATCACTGAGCACCTAATACATGCTGCTGGTCATATTCTCAGATATATTGATGTTTATTGATCCTCTAATGGAACAAAAATGGAAAACTACTGGTTTTATTTTCCCTATAACTATAAACAATAATTGTCCAGCCTTGGTAACAAAACATTGCAATTTAATATGGTCATAGATGGGATTTGAGCATTTTTGTGACTTGTTTTCAAAATAAATGGAAGTGCCGATATGCAGTAGTTTACCAGCGTGAATCGAGCGTCACTCCTCTCATCCATCTGTCAGAAAGCAAATATTTCTCTTGGAGGTGAACGCTTCCTCATCTCTGCACCAGGTTCTCTCTGTATTTGCACACAAGATAAATTAAGCTAATTATATGTAGTGTAATGCATATGACTACAGTAGGCAGGCTGAAGGTAGTAAGGTAATAAAAACAGTAGATGCCAGGATGTGTGTTTATCCCAGCCTAAATTTAACCAGTGGAGTTATAATCAACATTAAGTGTCCTTAATCCTCTGAGTCTCCTCCCGCCAATCCGGCACAGTGCTTTGGTTATAGTGTTGCACAAAGTAGCTTTAATTTATCAGAGCTTTCTCTTGTTGTTTGACTCCACAGATTTTTCCCTGTAGCAGGAAACTTTGCAGTTGACCATGGAAAACGGGAGACGCAAGGCTCAAATTGGGAAGTTGTTTTAGTGGAAAATCATGTTTTATTCCAAAAAACTGTGCAATTTCCCCCTTGACCGATGTGGTGTTACTTCAGTCATCGCCTTTTTGTTCAAACAAAGCAGGTTTTTCAGAAAAATTTCCAGAGATGCACCAATTTTGGGCCAATTTATTTTCCAATTTTGACCGATTCCAATTTTTTCTCTCTCTCAGGACTATTGAATATGAGGAAAAATGTGCTGCAGGTTCTCTTGTTTTGAATCAAAGAAAGTTTTTTTTTTTTTTTTTTTTTCCCCAATTCGAACATATATCGTCTAATTTTTATCAGTTTTTTAATACACCCCAAAAAAA